CCACAAACCGACTGTGAAAATGTTGCAAAAAAATTATGTTAATGGAATAATCCATCATCTTTGAGATAGGCTTGTGTGTGCAAATCAATATCTTCTCTTTTGGCTATGTGAAAATTGTAAAGCAGAGCTTGAAATGAGCCTGGCAAGATCAAACATGAATCTCGATGAAGGAAAAAACATTATGTCACACAAGAGGTGCAACTTCAGCTTTGCTCATGTTACCATTTATTCTATTACTAGCCTGTAACACGTACACACACTGCTCCCTAACTCTACGAGCATTAAATATTAAACCGTATGAACATTAAACATGGGTTACTTATAAAAAAAAACATTATAATGAAGTTTACACCTTTGAGTCCTGACCCTTTAAGAGATTAGGGATGACATTTTGCATGTGCTGTCTATCTTAAATGGGCAGTAATATGTAGTTTATGACTCTGCTTTAATGGTGTTGTACTTCCTGTGTACATTTTGCTAAATGGACCTTTGAGTCAGCAAATAGCATAACTGAGGTGCTTTTTATTTTATACATTATTCAGTCTCTAACAGAATACTATGTGTCTTGAAAACAGGCATTAAAATATAGTGACAAACAAAAAGGCATTTAATACTTTCTGAACTCCCACTGAAAGTCATTTGTCAGTAAAACTAGGCATATAAATAGCTAAATTGACTGTCAAGAATTGAAAAAAAATGCCATCATGATTACATATTTTTCACATAATGTATTTTCTTCATTTTCAGTTTTTCCAGCACCAAAAATAAAAATCTTGCTTTGCTCAGAAAATTAAGAGACAACAAATTATCCTTGTCAGGACTAGGAATGTAATCAGCACATCATGCCCATCATATAAATAAATTTAAGTCTGATAAACACTGCAGAGAAATAATTACTTCTCAGTTCAAGCTGTCCTTGCAGCATTTTTAATGTATTTGTTAGATCGGCTCATTAGATATGTCTTTTAATATTTATCTTCCAATTACATGTGTGGAGCTTGTTGACTTCAAAGTGATTGCTTATGGTGTATAACCATCAAAGACGTTCAGGAACAAGACAAAAGAGATAAATGGCAAACAAATGGCTTTAATGGGTCTGGCAACACAGACAAAGATCGGATGTGATCCCTTTAGGATTAAAACACTTAGGCATCGAGTCAATATGTATTTAAAATCCTAAACTGATCAATGAAAGATATTATGAAGTGGATTTGCATCTTTGAAGCAGTAAATAAAGACTGATTGTGTGCTTGTGAACTACTTGAGAACTCAGAGGGTTTCTGTGTTGTTTAGCCCCACTACCTCATCAAACTATAGTTGCAAAAAGTGGAAAGACAAAAGCAGCAAATCTCCAGTACTTTGAATGAAAAGATTGCAATTAATGTTTTTCAAGCGTAACTGTCAAGTAATTGATACTGAAATGTGCCAAAAAAGTGTCCTTGTCTCGTCCAAATGTGGCATCACTGCTGTTCCTGATTGATCTTGGTCAGTCTCTTACTTTTTTGGATGCTGTTTAAGAAAAAAAACAGGTTGCATGACATTACATTTACTGAATATCGAACAGAAAAATATCTAGGTTTTAAAAGGAAATTGAAACTAGTATTTGGTTAAATACAGGGTTTATACACGTACTACACTGTAAAAAAAATATTTTCAAGATTTGTTATCACAACATATTTTCGTTTGTCAAATCAACTTAAATAATTCATTTAGTTGAGATAACTTATTATTTTGAGTTTCTGATGATTAAATTAATCTCCTTCATTGTATTAACTCACTTTTTCCAGTTCAATCAACTTAAAATTTGAAGTCAACCAGGTTATTTACTTTTTTAAGTTAAACAAACAATATTTTTTTACAGTGTACACTACTATTTAAAAGTTTTGGTTTGGTAAGGATTTTTGTTTCTGAAGAAGACTCTAATGCTCAGCAATGCTGCATTTATTTGACCAAAAGTACAGTAAAAACAATAGGCTAATATTGTGAAATATTACAATTGACAGAACTTACTAAAGTGGAAAAAAATTTAACGTCCGCAACATTGCTTTAATCTCCCATATTTAACATAAAGGCAACGTTTCAACCCTGCTGGGTCTTTAAAGTCGGCATGAAATCAAATTTGACAAATCTTCGTTTTATATGTAATACTGTAGTGTTTATTATAAATGATTTATTTATTTATTATTTTTAAAAAATGAATGTACCCTTATAATCTTTAATCAAAGACGTTACCCTTCCCTCCCCCATCGAAACGACCTCTCTTCTATTTCGGTCACGTGCTGAAAGGATGCGGCCAGATCCGATGAGGGTGCGTCTATCGGTGAACCGCTTCTCAGAGAATCGCATTTAAATCCGCCTCCATTTTGTATGCAACGCCCAACCTCCAACGATCCAATCAATTCCCGAAGGACGAAATCAAACCCTGCCCTACATTCTCAACTTCCGTTTCACGCCGACTTTAAAGCAGTGTTGCAGATATTATATTTTTTTCACTTATTCCACTATATTTTTTTAGAGATTAGAGACTAAATGAACAACATCTCAAGAATAAATTATAAAGTCGGTCTCATATTGACGCCTGTCTCAAATACAAGCCAGTGCAGTTCGACGATTTGGGAAAATAAAAGGCCGGGCTATTATTTGAAGTTTTACAGTACCCATTTTTCCTGCTTCCAACAAATGAAATTCACTGTTCACTTTCTGACTAATAATGATATAATCCAGGGGTGCCCAATCCAGTTCCTGGAGATGTATTATGTATTTACTGGAGAGTAATTGCAGAGTCCAGATTCAACGCAACTCTAAATTGTAATTATCAAGTGTTCCTGAGGATCTTAACTAGCTGGTTCAGATGTGTGTAACCAATATAACCAATATCATTCACTTTAAATGTCAGTGGTTTTAATGTTGTGGCTGATCGGTATATATAAATATATCAAGCGTAGCGTCAGTTCTGGCAGGTCACGTTAGTCAAGCTTGCATCAGCTTACTCTCAGCTGATCCATGTCTGCCTACTAGAATCACTGCATACATATATAAGCTCCTTCAGTATTATCAGCAGCTATCGCGTTTCTCAGGAGCTAATTACCCTCCTCCATCCCGAGCTCCTCCTCTCGCCCAGTCAGGCATTCTGATTCCCCTTGAATCAGAATAAATTCTCGAATTATGTCATACTTTAAAATCTTGAATTAATTATATCTGCATACATTCATGTTGGTTCTGTTCTGTTTACCCTATTGCTGCTCTCCCTGCTCTTGTTATTGTCATGCTAGGCTGCACGGATGCGCAGGGCCAGGGAGTTCTCGCCCATACCGCCAATCCAAACTTTATGCTAATTGCCAATCATATGGAGAGCCCCACAGTCTCTGCCAACTGGTTTAAACAGCACCTGGCCACAGAGACAGCAATTTAAGGCTCCTTGCAGACAGTGGTTCAATATATCAACATATTCAGTCCTTTTTTTAACCTTAATTAACCTACGGTTTTCAGATAGAATGGAGAAGTCATCTATAACTCTCAGAGGAAAACTGTGTGCCAGGACCTAATGGCATTCACCTCCTCAGAACAAGTCATCAAATCAAAACACACCGCAAATCACAAAAGCTCCTATTGTATAAGCTCAGTGGGATTTTGGATATCAGTTGGATACAGGTCATGATTTCATTTCCATTTTCTTAAAGCACATCTAAAGGGATCAGATATGGAACTGCAGGGCTGGCATTGAATTTCTGACAGAAGAGAGTACCTTCACAATAATGGGGTGCATGGTGTACTTGTGTACAAATCTGATCAACCTATACTGCTGCACCTTTGCTCTCTAATAAGCATCCGCTCACACATCTGCAACGCTGCGATATCACGCTTGAAGACTCCGTCCAGCAGAGCGAAACAGACTTCCCAAGAGACTGCACAGAGCAAAGCCACCGCACCGCTCACAAAACTCCTAGCTTTCTCCACACAATTAAACGTTTCTATGGGAATAATTCTCAGACTCTGACCTGAGCTCATTTGTCTTTATTTCCCAGAACCTTATTTTTCTGTGCACTTTAGAGAGAGGGGAAATGGCCTATGCTCTCAGAGATGGCTCACTGAATTTTATGGGCTGAAATTATATCGGTGTTGACACATGCTTTAAAAAAAGCAATTTTTCAGGGAATAAAATCAGTTTATATAATGGTGCACCATTAAACACATTAAAGAAGCTTTGGTCAGAAAATGAAGCATGACTACATATAATACCTTCAATCGGTATCATACACATAATGCACTGGCCATCTGTATATCTATTTGGGAACAGAAAGACTGAAAGTGTTTGTTTAGACTGTATTTTTCATACATTTATGCATTTTTCATTTACATTTTTAGAAAAAAAATTATTCTATGCTGACCAAGGCTGCATTTATTTGATGAAATAATACTATAATAGTTTGAGATTTTACCATTTAAATTAACTGCTTTCTATTTAATATATTTGAATGTGTAATTTAGGACTGTAATGGTAAAGGTGAATTTCAGCATCATTACTCTTCCAATAATAGTCATTTTTATTGCATACCATTTTTGTGGATACTGTTTTTATTATATATATATATTGAGGGCTTGGAGCCAGAAGGGCGTAAGTGGCTTTTAACAAACTTTACAGGAGAGACAAAACAAAATTTGGACCACGCTTCAATCACCTGTATTATTAACCTTAAAACCACAAACATTGCAACCACAGGCATACTTACATGAAATGAGTATTTAAGTAAAAAAAATTATGGCATATTAACACAGTGAACATAACGTTCTAAAACATTTTCAAAAAAACAAAAAATCAAATACGTCAGATGCGCCTTTTTGTTGCTTTATTCAATACAGTTTGATCTCAGGTAGGTATTTTGGCACCATTGGATAGAGCTCATCTAGACCTTCATTTTGATATAAAGAACTCATATTCGCCTAAAATGTCAATTACGCCCCTCTGGCTCCAAGCCTCAAATGTGTTGTGAAACACTCACTGCAGCACCGAGGGCTTGGTCGAGGTCTGCAATAATATCTTCCTCATCCTCCAGGCCCACCGACAGACGAATGAGTGTATCACTGATTCCCAGTTCTTTCCTCTCACTCTCAGGCACTGAAGAATGAGTCATAATCGCTCTGAAAAAGAAAAGTGCACTATGGGAAATGGAGATGAAATAAATGTCCCCTCAAACCGAGTTTCTTTTTCTCCAGTATAAATCATAGAAACATTGGTGCAGGTGTGATATATATATATATATATAAGATGTAACTAGATAATTCAGTGATGTTATCGCTTGCATTCTAGTGAATTACTTGTCAGCCATATGAATAATTAATCCATCACACAATGATGTTTCAAAAGCCACCTGGCAATTAACAGTAACTTTGTTTTTATATTGAGGGCTGACTATAATATCCTAAAGAAATGTTCTATTAGTTCTTTTAAATATATTTCGCTAAATAATGTTCTACAATGACACAAAAGGCTCAGACAACAAGTGTTGTTTCTGCAATTTCCTTTAAGTACAACACTACAGTGCTTGCGCCTCCTTGTGGCCATCCAAAATACAAAAGCCCACTTGAGCAATTTTTTTAAGGCTTAAACAGTTATTAAAAACCAAGCATACTTGTTTCATAAACAAAACAAAAAAGTGAATAAGCTCTGAATTTAAATCAAATCTTCCCTTAGAACAGTCAGTGGATTTGGATAGTGTTCTCAGTACTTACGGGTGCTCTGCTAGACTCTCAATACCACCAAGACTTTCAGCAAGTGCAAACAACTGAAATGAAACATACAACATAGATTGTTTAAAAATGTAGAACGGAAAAGATTTTCAAACAATATGTAGTTTAAATGTACCTTCAGATTGCTGAGGAAAGTTGAGGCGTGCTCCAGTTTTCCTTTAATGTAGAAAGTGATCATCCCGGGACAGCCTGTGCACTGTCTCTTTGTCAGCTCGTGCTGAGGGTGAGATGGAAGACCTGGAATAAAAAAGATGAGAGAGAGTCAATTAAATCTGGCTGGAATCCCTCAATATCAATTACATTTAAAACAATAAAGTTCAAGATTGGCCACAGGTATAATACCAATGACGTCCCTACACTACTATTTAAAACTTTGAGATCAGTAAGATTTTTAAGGACACATTAAACTAATTAAAACTGATAGTAAAGACTTTTACATTGTTACAATTCATAGAATCCTGGAAAGAAATTATCACAGTTTCCATAAAAATATTTAGTAGCAAAACCGTTTTCAACTGTGATAATAAGAAATGATTCTTAGGGTCTAAACCCTGCCATCACAGAAAAAAAAATACTTTTTAAAATTTATTACAATTTTAAATCATCATAATGTTTAATAATATATTTTTTTTTTTTTAAATTAGGGCTGGGCAACAATTAATCATGATTAATCACATCCAAAATAAAAGTTTCTGTTTACATAATATATTTGTGCGTAGTGTGTATAATTAATTTGTATATATAAAAACACACATATGCATGTATATATTTAAGAAAAATGTGTTCTTAATACATACAATTTTTATATTTATATATAATATTAATTGTGTATAAATATATATAACGTATATACATGCAAATATTTCTTAAATACATACATGCATGTGTGTGTATCTATATATACAAAATAATTATACACACTACACACACATATATTACGTAAACACAGACTTTTATTTTGGATGCGATTAAACGTTGCCCGGCCCTAATTTTTTTAAAAGTTACATTATTTTTGATTAAACAAAAATAAATGCAGCCTTTGTGATCAAAAGAGACTTCTTTCAAATACTTTAAAACATCAACCCTAAAATTTGTGGGTAGTGTAAATAAATTCACAACATCACACTCATGCAGTATTATTATCGACTCAACCAAGCATTTACCATTGCATTCATTTGAAATCTTATTTTCAGGTGGGTTATTTGAGCAATCACCAACATGTGTCATTTTCACGCAACACACACTTGTATGTAATGAGTATAATAACACAGACACCTGGGAAGATGACTCGTTCCACTCTCGGGTCAGCCTCTAGAAACTGTGCCGCTGCCAGTCCGTTCTTAAAGTGCTGCTTCATTCTCAGGTGCAGTGTCTTCAGACCCCGGTTGCACATATAACAGTCAAATGGAGAGGGAACGGCCCCAAGCTCTGAATTGAAGATAGGAGAACAGAGATGAAAATAAACTTCTACTTCTGCTATGCAAGTGACTCAAGCTCATTTTCATTGTTAGAGTCAGGGACGAATATGCAAGGTGAAATATTGCTATAAGTGTCTTACATAAAGAACAACATTAATCATCACACTGTAACAGTTGGCTGTTTTTAAAATTACAGTTAGCTCAAATTATACATTCGGGGATAAGACAAGGAAGATTTTCCTGACACTTTCTCTGAGCTATGCACTTCGAAATCAAGAGAGAGTGCCAAGGACATTTGAATAAATTACATTTTACATAACTGCTTAGCAATGAGACTACAGGTAATAACAAAAGATACTAAATCAGGTTATTACCTTCACCAGAAGACAAGTAACTTTCCTTTCAAGTGAATGAAAGGCATTTGTCCTGTCCCTTACAAAAGACCCCCAATAGGGCAGATAAAAGAACGTAATTCTTGCAGAATTCCTTGTTCGCAAAATGAAATTTGAAGATTAAACTCTGGGTCTCTCTCTAGCATTTTAAAACACAACATCTCTATATTGATGTACATTTATAACACTGAACTGAACCTTTAAAGGGATAGTTCACTCCAAAATGAAAATTGGCCAACAGTGAGCATACATGTGACACACAACCTAGAAGCACTGCGCAGTTACACTACGTGAACTATCTTGAGGCCCACAGATAAGGAAATGAATAGTTTAAATGAAGTTGTTAATTTTGTTTGTTTGTTGCGCACAAAAAGTATTCTTGTTGCTTGATAAACTTAAGATTGAACCACTGTAGTCACTTGGACTTTTTTAGCAATGTCTTTAATAACTTTTCTAGGCTGGCAAGTTTCAATCCCTTAGAAGCCTATATGGAGGAGTGATCCAGCTCTCAGATTTAATCAAAAATATTGTTTCAAACTCTTACTGGGGTGGAACAACATGAGGGTGAGTAATTCCTGACAGAATTTTCAAATTTGGGGGGAACTATCCCTTTAACAGTCTTTGATTCTTTATTTGTATGACTCTCTCCTATGATTCCTTTCTTTCAAATGGGTAATAAACTTCTCTAATTAACTAATATGCTATAAACTGCTTGTGAAATACACTAATACACAACAACCATTTTGATCTTGAGTCAAAAGGTCATGTCATAAAGGGAAGAGCTGTTTGGTCAAAAAAAGGATGTTTTTAGACTTTAAAAGTTACAGTTTAGGTAGAGCCTTACCACTCTGAAAAAACCTCAGGCGTTCATAGACGTCCGCACGGTTGAGAGAAATCAACCCCAGGACAACATCAGAATGTCCTGGAATTATATAGATCATTTTAACTTTGATCAAGCAAATTTACAATTGTATAAAAGGTTTATATCTATTTTCAAATTGTTTTTTACCATTCATGTACTTCGTTGCAGAGTACATGCAGATGTCTGCTCCAAGTGCAAGAGGGCGCTGTTCCAGTAATAAGAAAAATTGTGAAATAACTAAATAAATACCTAGTTTCTGTCTAATGGAAATCCTTGCACTGAATTTCTTTTTAAAGGGGTCATATAATGCCATTTTGTACAAGTTAAAATGAATGTTTGGGGTCTAAATGAAAACTTTGTAATATACTTTTATTAAAAATTCTAATTTGTATTTTAAGAAAACACTAATTTTACCTTGGTTAAAAACAGCTCTGTTTTCAGCACGCTGTTTCAGTGCATTTGCCTTTAAATGATAATGAGCTTCGCTCACTCCACCCCTTTGTTCTGCAGGTGTTTATGGCAGATCATACTTGTTTATAAAGCAGTCTGGTGAGAAATGATTCGCGTAAACATGAAAGCATTGACGTTGATCGTGGGGAATATTCCCTTCGAAAACAAAACTCAACCACTGCGTCTTCAGCGGTTCGGATTTAGGAACATCAAAATAACTGCTGTGTTCGTTATTACACCCAATAACAGAACACCACAATTAGACACCCATTCTGCTCTAGTGTATCAACAATGGCGGACTATGATGACACGACAGCTCGCTCAGGGCGGGGATGTGTTGAAACGCTGCTGTCAATCAACGATCGTGGGAGGGACGTCCGACCTTCTGATGTCACACGGTCGAACAGCTCGATTTGAGACAGGGAAAACATTAAAACAAAAACACTGGATGGATTTCTATCATTATACTGTATGATGGTTGTGTACAGGCACTGCCAACACACATTTCAGAACAATTAACTGCATGTACCATTATATGACCCCTTTAAACAAGTATTACATGCTATCATATGCTTAATAAAATGTACTTTTAACAGTTAACTCACTTTTTAAATTGTCCTTCATATCCCTAGTAATCTACTCAAGTGATTTGAAGACCATCAAAATTAACATGTATACCTGAAAGTAAGCTGACATGAAAGTGTTGTCCACAACAACAAGTGTGTCCTTGTTGTGCTCATGGACAATATCTGAACAGCCCTGAATGTCCACGACCTTCATAGTAGGATTTGTAGGCGTTTCAATCCATAGCATCTGTAGAAACAGGGAAATTTATTATTACCCAATTTTATTTCAGGTAGTAATTCCCAGAGCAAATTAAAGTTCACCCAAAAATTAAAATCCTGTCATTATTTTTTCACCCTCATGTCGTTCCATTCACACCCGTAAAACCTTTGTTCAACCAATGAAGTCACATGGATTACTTGAATGATGTCTCTGTGATTGTGTAAATTGCGTTGCTCCCAATGGAGGGACTGAAAGCTCTCGGATTTCATCAAAAATATCTTTATTTGTGTTCCGAAGATGAACAAAGGTCTTCTGGGTGTGGAATGATATGAGGGGGAGTAATAAATTACAGAATTTTCATTTTTGGGTGAATTAAACGTTTAACATATACTGTATGCTGTCAGGTTTAATCCTGTGAGCATATTTCTCCATCCACCCTCCTCAGTAATTTTGGGATTATGAGGTTTTTTCAGAGTGGTAAGGCTCTACCTGAACTGTAACTTTTAAAGTCTAAAAGAATGTAATCAGTTTTTGAGATATTCCTCTTTTTTTTTTCTGGGAGAGCTATTTACTGCCAAAAAAAAAAACAAAAGGAATATCTCAAAAACTGATTACATTCTTTTAAAAAAAACTTTTGTAAAAAACTATTGTCTCTGCTAGGTGTACCTTTGTATTCGGTTTTAACGCTGTTTTTAGCTTGTCTAGCTTCGTGAGGTCAACAAAAGTGACGTCAATGCCATATTCCGCAGCTATTTTTCGGAAATATTGGTTAGTTCCTGGGGGGGGAAAACATGACAGTCTCAGTGTCTCTCTCAGCTATATATCAGTATTTTACTCTCTTTTCTATCAATTATAATAGCTAGTTTAAATTGTTCTATGCATTATTAGGAGCAGTAACTCACCTCCATAAACATCATTCATGCATATAATTCCATCTCCGGGCTTAAAAAGATGTGTAATGGTAAAAGTCGCAGCAGATCCAGAGGCAAGAGCGAGACCTGTAATGAAAGTCAGAGCTTTAGGTTTTTGGCAATGTCATTTGTAGATAATATTACATGATTTTGTGTTGGTGATGCACTCACAGTATTGTGCACAATCCAAAGCAGCAACTGCTTTCTCAAGACAGTTTCTTGTGGGATTTCTACACCTGCTGTACTCGAAACCCTGGGAGATAAAACATTAGAGGTAAAAAAAGTGTTGAATTCAAAATACCATAGAAAATTGATTTGAATTATACAAATAAAGTGTCTGTGAGTGAGTAATAAAGACATTTTACACAAAAACTGTCATAGGTACAGTTGGTACTGTTAGTTTGCAGTGTCACAAGCAAACCTGACCTGGCTGTTATCATGACTCGAATATTCAACAAATTTGCAGCAGATTTCCTGATCTACCATTCTGAAAAGGTATCCTAAATATTATTATCTGTTGATTGGTTTCTAGAGGGGTTTGGGGCAGAGTTCGAATCAGCTAAGAACATCTTCAACCAGCTATTTAAAGTTTTTTTTCAGAGGAGCAATTGAGCATAGTAAAGAAGTATTTGACCAACCTTGTGTTGTTTAATGTCAAGTTAATTTAACTATCCAGTTTTTACACAAATAGGTCTGGATATGGTTAAGGTTATGATCTACCCAGATCATAACCCAGATCTTATGATGATTTACCCAGCTGAAAACAAAAACTGGTAACACTTTAGAATGGCTCCTTCGTAAATGAATATCTATACAAGAACCAATGAGTAACACAATATTAACAATCTATATTAACTAACTCTGACTAACGAATAGTGCACAGATGAAAGTGGTACTTCACTATTAAACTATTCAATAACTCCAATGTTTTGATGCTTCCCAAAGAATTACTGTTCAAAGTTTCATAATTCATGCAAAACTAACCAATCTACAATGTTCTACAATTTATTGGCTTTTAATTAGTAACTAAGAATCATGGTAAACTATCTAATGACTCAAGTATTATATATTTCTATGGGAATTTCTATAATTATTTGGATCCGTATATTCTAAAGTAAAGATCATGGGAATGACTAAAGTAACGACAAAAGTGTACAGTACAGCTACTGCTAAAAGTTTAAAAGTTCACCAAAAATCTCAAACAGTTGAAATTACTTTTGTGTTTGGTTGCACAAATCATGACAGATTATGTAACACTATCCCATGATATAAAAAAAAAAAACTTTTTTCGACTTTTTTTCACAGTAAAAGTCCTGCCATTTCACAATTCACATCACATCCATTTGAAAATAGCTCTCATCACAGAACAGCTCACTCGACTCGATAGATACACACGAACCGAATGCGTTCACAACACAATCTCTCAACTCAAAAATCGGACTGATACGAAAACTACGCTCATATATTCTCAGTTTCCTTACAACTTACAGCATGTTTCCCCGGAGCGTCCTGTTTAAAGGTGGTAGACAGTGAAATAGGAGGCACTACGGCCATAGAGTTCCACTGCTCCGGCTCTGAACCAACGTGGATCGCATCTGTGGCGAAAGATTTGAAGACCGGCTGGAAGCCGGCTGAGGCTGAGCTGCCGTTGTGTGAAGCCATGGACATTCCGGACGGCTGACGATGAGACAGGACAGGGTTCCGAGATCACAGAAGGGTCAACAGCCCTCTCTTGGTGTAAATGATTTATATAAAAAAAAAAAATAAGAGTGATATTACACTGTGTGTGGTAAGGGCAAGGGGATTGGAGATTTATAAGGGGCGTGCTGGGTCACGTTATTCACTGAGGTTATGTAATAAGTTGTGTTTATTTTTTTTATTCGTACAATAGCCTACTGTGTTTCAACAGAGCTTTTATTAACAGAATATAGGAGAGGTAAAGAGTGTGACTTTAACGTGGGCTATTAATATTTAGTTGAACAATGCTATAGCCTACAAATAACACAAATTCAAATGCAAACTGTCCTGCTTGTAAAAAAGGAAAAGAAAAAAAAAGCCATTGATTTTGAGCTGAACTGTAGCTGTTGTTGTTTACAAGATCTCAAGTGTCTGAAGTGGATGTTAGTCAACTACATCAGGAAATAAAATAGCCTAGGCCTAGATGTTTCTGTTCTGCATAAGGTTTTAAAGACATAAGCTTTATTTCCAAGCATATATACTGTCGCTTGGAGCAAGATGATGCATGGAAAACCTTGGATTTTAATACAACGTAGGGCAATATAATAGGGCTGTGATGTTTATATTCAAATACATTTCTACTAATAATCCCAGATAGCCTGTATGTTTATGCTTTAGATTTCCTGCATATATGAAGTCTGATTTAAAACTTTTTTCAAAAACATTAAAAAATCGTAATTATTCCAAAGTTTTGACCGCCGGTGTATAGCCTATTTAAATATAAAATAATATATTTACAAAGGCCTGCCATTTCAAGATGACTGGAGCTTGAATTCTCAATTCATGAATTGCCCTATTCATGAAACACCACGAGTTTGTTAAAGACAACCTCTGATAACTGAGTGTTAAGGTAATCAGTGGTGTTGGTTTACAATCACAGCAGGAAAGGATAATATCCTATTAGGGCTTTCAAAGAGAGGCTTCTCTCACCAGATAGAGGTCAAAGTTCATTACAAATTGTGATGGCCTGAATTCTGCTTTGGACTTTATATAGTTTAGCATGATTTGGTAGACATGCAGCAACAAACATTAACCAATGAAATCATACCTTTTGTCCTACATAACCATAATTATTCTCTTTCTTTGGTCATATAATCTTTTTTGAGGATGTCTAATCTCTAAAGCACACTGCCAAATGGATGGCTCAAAGTTTAAGAGTAATTTTCCACTTGATCTGAATGACCTTACATGGCCAGAGCTGCAAATGAACTGGCACACCTTCACAGACATTCTGAGGAACCAAATGTGTCATCCAGTAATTACACCTATAACATTTTTAATGTGATGCATACTGGCCAAAGTCACTTTTCATTATTTTTTTTACCAGCACCTATCCGAATGGGAAGAGATAGTTATTGCCCAATTAAGTGAAAGTATTGAAAGAAACTAAAGTATGAAAGCAAAATAATTCTCAGAAAATGAAATGGCTGTTCATTATCACAACATTTAGTCTCTCCTGTAGCATGACTCTAGTAAAGTCTTAATTTAATCAAATAGCTCAAAGGTAAGCTTTTAAGCAGATTTTTGGGCTATGTGATGGTAAGAACACTAGTTACACATGTTACTGTGAATTCTGGATGACCTTAAGGCTTTCTGACAATTTCTTGCCTTAACTGGCTCCCAGTAGTCATTTAAGAAATTGTAGTCTACCTCGACCCAGATTCCACTCCAAAAGATATTTTAGAATGAGCTCAACCCCAAAATGGCTTAATGATCATAGATCATTTTAGATCAGAGGCCAAGGTGCTTTGTACCTTGCCACTGCTATGCTGTAATATACATTTTTGAGCTCTTCAGCATCCACATAATTTATTCTTACACAGTACACATAAAAAGCTAAATTGAAAGTCAAGAATTCCGATTAAATATTTAGCATATTTTTTTTCAGCATACCCTAAACATCTTACACTGCAAAGTAGGGGACAGAATAAATAAATTTAAGCCTGATAAATAATTACTTCTCAGTTCAAGCTGTCCTAGCAGCATTATTAATGTATTTGTTAGATCAGCTCATTAGATATGGCTTATAATATTTATCTTCCAATTACATGTGTGGACTGTGGAACTTGATGACTTCAAAGTGATTGCTTATGGTGTATAACCATCAAAGACGTTCAGGAACAAGACAAAAGGCAAACAAATGGCTTTTAATGGGTCTGGCAGCACAGACAAAGATCGGATGTGATCTCTTTAGATTTGAAAATTGCTTATAGGCATTTAGAAAATATACAAAACTGATCAATGAAGGGTGATTTGAAACATTATGAGGTGGCTTTGCATCTTTGATGCAGAAAATAAAAAGTGATTGTGGGAACTCGGAGGGTGTCTTTTCTTCTCGATCAACTTGAATCACTTATTTGAACATTCTATATAAAAAGAAGATACAAATCTTCATTTGCATCATATATCAGATTTCCCTTGCAGTCCTAGCGTTTTCCTGTATTAAAACTTTAACAATTGAGGCTGTACCCAATACCCCAAACTATAAATTACAAAAAGTAGAAACAAAAAAGCAGCAAATCTCCAGTACTTTGAATGAAAAAGATGAGTTTCTTGAGGTTATTTGTTCCCTGACAAATACAATTAAATATACTAAGTAATTGATGTGCCAAAAAAAAAAAAGTGCCCTTGTCTCATCCACATGTGGCATCACTGCTCTTCCTGATTGATCTTGGTCAGTCTCTTACTTTTTTGGATGCTGTTTAAAAAAAAAAAAAAGAGGTTGCAAGACATTAGATTAATTCATGAAATGGGACACTTTAATAAGTGAGTATGTGTCCGAGTGCGAGTATATACATACATACACACACATATGATATCAGTGTTGACACACACAAAAAAAAAAAAAATCATTTCAGAGAATAAAATCAATTTACATGAAGATGCACTATTAAACACATTAAAGCACCTTTGGAGGAAGTGAGCAAAAATTGCACAAATACTGATAAATTCATTTAGTACAGGATAGCTTTTCCCTTTGTTTTCTTTAAATGTTTAAGCCATGTGCAATGATTGGACAATAAATTGTCCCCGAGATCACCAAAATCCACAGAAGAGATATGTACACTTTTTAATATTTGGAAAACTTCTATTATTAATTGCTTTCAGGATGTAACCAAAAGGTGTTTATGAAACAAATTGTCTACCTTCTAATATACATAGATATATAAATAAATGTTTTACAGATAAGTATGTGAACAAATGTGTTGTGAAACACTCACTGCAGCACCGAGGGCTTGATCGATGTCTGCAATAATATCTTCCACATCCTCCAGGCCCACCGACAGACGAATGAGTGTATCACTGATTCCCAGCTTTTTCCTCTCATTCTCAGGCACTGAAGCATGAGTCATAATCGCTCTGAAAAAGAAAAGTGCACCTTGGGAAATGAACAGAGCCGTCGCAATGGGGTAGACATGGTAGAGCCCAACTAAAGAGGGCCCCCCAATGGCCGCACGGTTGTTTGGTTGTGTATCTGCCCTTGTCAAATAGAATCAACCACTGTAAACAAACCACCACAGTGAGACAGCACCATCAATCTCCAGTACTGCACCGTGAGGCCGTCTTCCTTACAGTTACAAAGATCACAGCAGTTATACCATTTCCAAGGTCTAAGATACGTCATTGCTTACAGGTTAAATGATTCTCATTGGCTATGAAATCGATAAACAGTAATTTTCCACACATATACAGATAGACTGAAGCACATCTCCATCGATTATGCAGTTGAGACCCTGAAGTTAGGCACATCATGATCGCAGATTTGAGCTTCTGGGCGCCAGCCTGTCTCTACAACAATTCAATCAATCTCCAATAATGCCAGTGGTTCCTTAACCTATACCCAAGAAGACTGACACACACCAGTATGAAAACAACACACAGCTTTTCCAATGTTGGATTTGGCCAGGCTCTAACTATAAACAAGAGAGTCCTTTCAAAACAAAGATAATCCATTCTTTCTCTCAACTTTAGTCTAACTATTAAACTATTGGCTTCAATGACCCCTATATGTTTTATGTGCACTTCAGGCATCTATACATCCCACAATGCAGTACGATTGTGACGTAACCACAGATCGTCTAATCACCACCACAACAAACACTCTATGACATATTAATTGTAATTTATTTATTTATTTTAAAATAACCCAAACACACCTATATAAATGTGGATGCTGCATTAAACAAATTTGTAAAGGGGAAAAAAGTAAATAATAAATAAACTCATAGCTGGGGCACTCGTGCAACGTAAGCAATGACGTAGATCCGAGTGAACGAGACGGAGGGAAGCTAGCGAGTGAAGGGCATGGCAATTTTGGACTGGAACGCAGCACGGGAGCAGGATTGGACACCCTTGCTTTAGTACATCTAAATTCTTGCGCCCCCTTCTGGTCATAAAAAGCCCTCTTAAACGTTTTTTTAGGGCTCACACATACATCCACACTTACTATGCTTGGTGCATATTTGACATATGCATTTCACAAACCAAAAGATTGTGAATATACTTCATACATTTTTTTGCTATATGCTCTGGATTTAAATCAAATCTTCCCTCAGAAGAGTCAGTGGATTTGGATAGTGTTCTCGGTACTTACGGGTGCTCTGCTAGACTCTCATAACCACCAAGACTTTCAGCAAGCGCAAACAACTGAAATTAAAAATACAACATAGATTCTTTAAAAATGTAGAATGGAAAAGAGTTTCAAATAATATGTAGTTTAAACGTACCTTCAGATTGCTGAGGAAAGTTGAGGCGTGCTCCAGTTTCCCTTTAATGTAGAAAGTGATCATCCCGGGACAGCCTGTGCACTGTCTCTTTGTCAGCTCGTGCTGAGGGTGAGATGGAAGACCTGGAGTAAAAAAGATGAGAGAGAGTCAATTAAATCTGGCTGGAATCCCTCAATATCAGTTACATTTAAACAATAAAGTTCAAGGTTGGCCACAGGTATAATACCAATGAGGTCCCTCAAATTTTGAGATCAGTTTTAAAACTTATTACAATTTTAAATCATCATAATGTTTAATAATATTTTTTTTTAAAGTTACATTAGTTTTGATTAAGCAAAAATAAATGCAGCCTTTGTGATCAAAAGAGACTTCTTTCAAATACTTTAAAACATCAACCCTAAAATTTGTGGGTAGTGTAAATAAATTCACAATATCACACTCATACAGTATTATTATCGACTCAACCAAGCATTTACCATTGCATTCATTTGAAATCTTAATTTCAGGTGGGTTACTTGACCAATCACCAACATGTGTCATTTTCACCCAACACACACTTGTATGTAATGAGTATAATAACACAGACACCTGGGAAGATGACTCGTTCCACTCTCGGGTCGGCCTCTAGAAACTGTGCCGCTGCCAGTCCGTTCTTAAAGTGCTGCTTCATTCTCAAGTGCAGTGTCTTCAGACCCCGGTTGCACAAATAACAGTCAAATGGAGAGGGAACAGCCCCAAGTGCTAAATTAAATATAGAGGAAGAGAGAGATGGCAACAACTCTTCTTTTGTGCTATGCTCATTTTCAGAGTTACAGCAATACATTTTTAAACTGCTTAGCAATGAGACTACAGGTAATACCAGCAAATATTAAAACAGGATATTACCTTCACCTGAAGACAAGTAACTTTCTTTTCAAGTGAATGAAAGGCATATTTCTTGTCCCTTACAAAAGACCCCCAAAAGAACTTAATTCTTGCAAAATTCCTTGTTCGCAGAGAAATATTTGAAGATTACACTCTGCATCTCTCTCTAGCACAGTGTTTCCCAACCCTGTTCCCGGCGGCACACCAACACTGCGCGTATTCTTTGTCTCCCTTATCAAACACGCCTGATTCAACTCATCAGCTCATAATCAGATGGGTTTATATGAGCAGATGAGTTAAATCAGGTGTGTTTGATTAGGGAGACAAAGAATACCCGCATTGTTGGTGTGCCGCCAGGAACAGGGTTGGGAAACACTGCTCTAGCATATTAAAACACAACATCTCCTGTATGTTTTTGTACATTATAACACTAAACTGAACCTTTAACACGCTTTGGTGATAAGTTCAGTCGTCTACGATTCCTTGGCCTTGAGATTGCCAATCTGACAACAAGAAAATAATAATTGTCCTTCAAAGCTTTAAAGATGCATCTGCGGGTCTCTCAAACCAAAGGCATGCGTCTTATCCACTGCGCCATCACCACCCAGTTACATTGTAGCAATTTTAAGGCATGAATAATTTTGTTTTTCAACATTTAAATGTCATTTTGGTGATCAAAGATGGGTTTTAAGGGATAAAATGTTTGACTACAGGGGGACTTTAAGCAAAGACTTACCATTTTGCAAAAACTTCAGCCGTTCATAGAGGTCCTCGCGGTTGAGAGACATCAACCCCATGACAACATCGCTGTGTCCTGGAATTATACAGATTATTATAACTTTGATTAAGCATGTTTATAATTATATAAGTTTTATATCTAATTTATAATTAGTTTTTACCATTCATGTACTTTGTTGCAGAGTACATGCAGACGTCTGCTCCAAGTGCAAGAGGGCGCTGTTCCAGTAATAAGAAAAATGGTGAAATAATTAAATGAATACTTAGTACTGTTAAAGAAAACTCTATGCTTAATAAATTTAATTGTTACATTGTTAAGTCACCTTTTAATTGTCTTTCATATCCCTAGTTATCAACTCTCAGTCATTAAAAGAACATCAGCTGAGAAAATAAATGTGTATACCTGGAAGTAGGCTGACATGAAAGTGTTGTCCACAACAACAATTGTGTCCTTGTTGTGCTCATGGACAACATCTGAACAGCCCTGAATGTCCACGACCTTCATAGTAGGGTTTGTGGGCGTTTCAATCCACACCATCTGTAGAAACAGGGATATTTATGTCCCCATTTTAGTTAGAGTCAAACTTCCCAGAGCTGATTAACACACATTCTGTCAGGTTTAATTGTGTAACTAAATATTTCCAGATCCACCCACTTACTCACAGTAATTTTATCAGAGGCGTAGCTATATACTGCTGAGAGATAAAAGGAAGATTTAAAAACCTGATTGTGTTCTTAAAAAAAAGAAAAACCTGTTTCCTCTGCCAGGTGTACCTTTGTATTCGGTTTTAAAGCTGTCTTTAGCTCGTCTAGCTTCGTGAGGTCAGCAAATGAGACGTCAAGGCCAACTTCAGCAGCAATTTTCCTGAAATATCGGTTAGTTCCTGGTGGAGTGGGAAAGGTGACAGACTCAGTATCTCTTACCTTAATCTCACCTTTTCAAGCTTAAATAGTTTTTTAGGAGCAGTAACGCACCTCCATAAACATCATTCATGCACAGAATTCCATCTCCGGCCTTAAAAAGATGTGTAATGGTCAAAGTTGCAGCCAATCCAGAAGCAAGAGCGAGACCTGTTAGGAAAATCAGAGCTTTAGGTTTATGGCAATAGCATTTGTAGATAATATTAAATAGTTTTGTGTTGGTGATGCACTCACAGTATTGTGCACCATCCAAAGCAGCAACTGCTTTCTCAAGACAGTTTCTTGTGGGATTTCCACTCCTGCTGTACTCAAAACCCTGGCAGACAAAACATTAGAGGAAAAGGGTATTGAATTCAAAATACTATGCAGTGGTTTTAATTGTGCAAATAAAGTGTCGAATCTGTGATTGAGCAATAAAGAAATAATGTAAATTCATTGAAAAGTAAAAAAAAGATCACAAGTATGCAACATTGTAGTTTCACTTCAAAAGGGAAACATTTCACAAGCCAGCACACGCATTTATTTGAACCACCTGTGTTCTCATGACTCATACGGTTGGGTAAATACCATACTTGTCAACTTGCAGCATCTTTGCTGATGTAATCTGTAACCACAAGATCCTACTTATGTTGACTGGTTTCTAGGGGTTTGGGACTGGGACACCAGATTAAATCAGCTAAGACCATCACCAACCAGCCATTTAAGCTATTTTTTATTATTTTAAGCTGTGGTGTTTTTAAAAAAAATTGTTAATTCATCAACTGTTGGCATAAATAGGTATGACTTGTGTTTAGGATCTTCCAACAAAGTAACGTTAAAAGCCCCTCTCAAACCAGTCAGAAAACCAGCCTAGGCTAGACCATCTAAAACCAGTAAGCCGGTTCAGACTGGTTTCAGTACGATACGAGAAGCTGTGCTTAGTCATTCTGCGAGTCATTCATGTTGTCACCCTTGGTATATTAATTTATATCTTTACATTAATTTATGATTTTAAAAAATGATACTTGTGTTTCATATTAAAAGTCCTGCCATTGTACATTTCATATCAAAAACCCATTTAAATGGGCAATACCCTGATTACACTAATAGCCTCATTCTCCATTCACTCGATAAGTAACTTCCACGCATCGATTGCGTTCAAAACAACATACAATCTCCATTCAAATATCGGACTAAAACGAAACGGCACAATATATTCTCAATGTCAAACCATTACAACTTACCGCATGTTGCCCCGGACCGTGCTGTTTAAAGGTGGTAGACAGTGAAATGGGAGGCACTACGGCCATAGAGTTCCACTGCTCCGGCTCTGAACCAACGTGGATCGCATCTGTGGCGAACGATTTAAAGACCGGCTGGAAGCCGGATGAGGCTGAGCTGCCGTTGTGTGAAGCCATGGATATGGACCCCGGATATGGCTGACGATGAGATTGCTATACAGCCTTGAGATCATAAAAGAGTGAACAGCTCTCTTACTTAGTTACTGTAAACTAAATGATTAACAGTACATTGAGGGTTATATAGCAACACAACCTTTCTACGCCAATCACTACACGTGTAGGGTCGGGGATGGAGTGGATTGGCGATTACGCAGGGGCGTGCTGGGTCACGTGGTCAGCGTTCAGCGCAAGCTAGTGATCTGATGATGCAACATTTACATCACAAACCAAGCTGTCCACTGAGTGCTTTCACAACCATAAAGTTCAAGTTCTTCAGATAATATAAACTCTATGTATCTATCTATCCATCCACGAGTCATTTGAATCAAGTATGACCTGTGGCATAAGGTTTGACAGCTATTGAGAAGATTTATTAAAACAAGTGGTCATTTTTTTCTGACTGTAGGCTATGGGCAAAAGAATATGTAACAACATTTTGCGGAAATTCAAAATTATTTGACCTTTGATTTTAATTAAAATCACCAAAAGTTTTATTTATTTAATTTCTCCAAAGGAAACGAGACAGGAGTGCAGTTTTGCATGTCATTTTGGTTTTGGGCACAGCCTAAAAGTATGATCTAAAAACAACTGTGACACCACCAGTTTTATACCAGTTTGACAGCAGTACACACCTCCTCTCCATAAGGTGTGCTTTTAAAAAAAACCACATGACTATATCTTTAAGCGATGACAGGGACATGTTTGGTGCTTTGCTGCTTGCCATCACAAGTGTTGCCTCAGTACAAGGTAAGTCCTGTGTGTTTGTTTCAATTAGTTCCAGCTCAATCGACTCTTGATTAATACATTAGAGACATTGTAGGCTACTCTTTAGATTGAAGAATTACATTTTAACTCATATCTACTACTATCTACTACTAGCTGCTGAATGCATAGTTGGAGTGATTGGGGACCGTGTCCTCCTTCCCTGTGTTTATAATGGGCTGAAAAATTTGACCTCCTTCCACATCTCAACTGAATGGAGAAGAGGAATGCAAATAATACACACCACAGTCTGGATAGAGGGACAAGTGGACAATCAAAATGTGTCCCACAGTATCCGGACTACAGTGTCATCTTTAGCCCCCAAAACCGGAGATTTTTCCATGGAGTTACACGATATACATTTATCAGACACACATAATTACAGTTTTCATCTTAAGCCCCACGGTGAAAAAAGCAGCTCTCTTTGCACTGTCTGTCTCACCGTAGCAGGTAAGGATAATATCTTTTTTGCAACCAGACTGTAACTTTGACTTTTTATTCAAAGTATTTTGGTTTCAAGCATTTAACCTATGTATCTGCATGCAGGTCATTTCAGCCATCCTACTTTATTAAGACAGAATGGAGTGGATGGTGGCGAAACCAGATTGTTTTGCAGCTCCAGAGGAGGATTTCCTGCTCCATCCATTTCCTGGCTTGTTAACCATACACAGTCTCCTCCAGAAACATTAGTCAAAACATATATGAATGTTCTACCACAGTCTGAACTCTACAACATCACAAGTGTCCTATCCATCAACATATCAGCAGACACTGCCGTAACCTGTGTCATAGAAAACAACCTGCTGAACGAAACTTTAACAGCAACGAGCGGTAATTACCTCAACAATTTCAGTAATGGTGGTGGGATTTTTTTTACATACACCAATAATATGTGAAATAAGTGAATGTGTAATGTGAACAATACAGTAGTCAGAACTTGATTCAGCCTGAGATGTACAGCAAACTTATACAGTGATGAACAATATGAAGACGTGAGTTTTGTGTGTGTGTGGTCAGTTGGTGTTCGTTCAAGTACATCGGTGGTCCGGCTGTCAGAGCACATGTGGGCGTTCAGCGCTGCTCTGTGTGTGGCCGTATTCTTCCTGGTGGCTGCGTCTTTGGGTTTCCAGAAGAAATGGGACCGAGATAGAAAAAGAAAGCAACACAGATATGGAGGTACCAAAGACCTATTTATATGATGGGCTAACTATGTGGATTTGTTATATGACGATCATTTATTTGCGTTGCAGATGATTCATCTAGCGAGGGCACTGACATGATTGTGTTCGATTTGGAGCAATGGGCTTCCCTTCCAGAGACAGATGTGTAACATTGTAACACTGTGATTGACTGGAAATGATTCACAGTTTCATAGTCGATGAATCAGCTTGAGATGCAAGACACAAACTGATTTTATTGAATATAGTCTTTTTTTCCATACAGTCAGCTAAACAAAAGACATGCAACTGAGTGGAATAAAACGTGTCAAGCTAAAAATATGAATTGATCTGAGAATAAAAAAACAATTTTTTATTGTTAAGTATCTTGCTGCAGCATTTTAAGATATTTGAGATTATGCAACATGTTGGGAAAGAGATCACTTACATAACTTCACTTGTTTTTCCCAAAGTGGTTAGACTGGCTTGAGCAGAAATGCAGATGAGTTACAGTATATGTTCCACTGTTATGTCATGCTTTCTGTTAAGGGGTGATTTTGTGACTTAAGACCATTCAAATACATTTAGCAGCACTGATTGTAGCAGAAGGACAATTTTAGCACCAGTTTCATATAAAAAAAAAACTTGCTTAAAATCACTGTGTAATATTTTAGCTATTGTATTAGAGTCAGTGAAATGAAAGGCCCAATGAGACAAAATTAATAACTGTATTGTACATACAATTTTAATTGTTTATAACAGAATTAGTAACAAAACGCAAACTGTATTGCACTTGTTCTTGTCAATAATTCAAATGTTTTTGCTCAGTTGTAATCCACATTAATACTTTTACTTACCCCAGAAGATAATTACTTTTAAAAGCACAAGAACATGAGTGAAAGTACTTTATAGGGATTTTAGCATATATATATATATATATATATATATATATATATATGAAGAGTTCAGATGCAAAAGCCTCTAAGTGCCATTTGAAATTTTCTTCTAGAATGATAATTTTTTATCAAGCTTGTATATTTAAGTTCAGTGATTTCACTTAAATGGCAATGATAATTATCTATTAATTGTTATTTAAGTGAAATTACTGAACTTAAATATACAAGTTTGATAAAAATCATCATTAAAGAAGAAAATTTCAAATGGCATTTAGAGGCTTTTGCATCTGAACTCTTCATATATATATATATATATATATATATATATATATATATATATATATATATATATATATATATATATATATATATATATATATATATATATGTCACTGGAATGTGATGGATTTTTTCCCTGAACCTGACTACTCTACAATAATACTCACTCTAGTTGGCCAAGTCTTATACTTTTACCCTAGCGCGTCTACTGTCGACGTCGGCTGAGCAATAAACCTACCCTATACCCTAGTGCCTCTATAGTCGACGGCGGCCGGGCACTAATCCTATAACCCTAGCGCATCTACAGTCGACGGCGGCCGGGTACTAATCCTATAACCCCAGCACGTCTACAGTCGACGGCGGCCGGGTGCTAATAATTCTAATTTACTTGTTCTTGCTGCGCAGCTTAAATGACAGACAGTCTTCAGCAAATGTCCTTCAGATGCTCTTTATTTCAGCTGGGAGTACTCGAGCAATTCTCAGAGAATCTCAGCTTAAAAGAAGAAGTACACATGTTTTATATGATAATGCCAGACACATTAAAAAAAAGAATCATCATGACTAATTATTTCATTAAAGTCACACTCTATCAATACGATTGGTTACACTGTTTAAAGCAAGCCCCATCCCCTCATCATCCTTTGTTAGTGACGTCAGCAAAATATCCTATATCCTCAAAAAAAAAACAGTTAGTAAGGGGTTAACATTTCAGTTAATCACGCCCTAATATAGTAAAAGAACAGAACGTTCAGTTCATCGTCAAAGTTACATTGAACAAGGTTACATTAACTCAAAAAGTTGTTAGATGGTTAGTTCATATTGAAAGTTCGTCTCATGGCTACATCCTAAATAGAAGGAACTAAGATTTATCTTTTTTTTATTGTTAGATCTAGATTAGAAAGTTTAGTCACCTTGAGACAAAGAAGTGGAAGTATGATAGGTTTTATCACATGTTAGAAATATAAAATCAGAACTTTATGGTTAGTAAACATAATTAATCTTTGAATGTTAAAATTTCTATAACAAATGTCACCTGTCACAGGTCCCTTATCCACCCACAAACCAACCCAACACAGGCCCAAAAATGAGGACAGACACGCAGACCCATGCACACCAGTTCTATTCACACTAGACATCCACCAGTACGGATACACAACTTACAAAATAAAACAGTAGACAAAGTAAATAGACATGGGCAGGGAAAAAGACAAAAAGGGAAAGAGACTAAATGAATTGGGGTGGGGGGCTGACCATTTTAGCTTTTTAACTATTTTAACAAGCTGAATGTGTAGTATTGTAAAATACAGTTTGTGAATACATTAAATCAAGACAGATGATCATGTCATATTGGGAACTGAATAGCTTTTTTTGTGAATAGCAGTTTTAAATAACTCCTAATGCCCTTACTCTAAATAATCTAAAATACAACAGTTATCAAACTCACCTATGTCAGCAATTATATAAAAGCCTCCACTGACCCATCTTTTGTCAACTTCACCCCTGCATGAAAAGAGAGCGCAGTTGCCATGCCAACCCATACAACATTGTACATAACTGGTCACTAAGCCAGAAAACACATCTTTGTGAGTTATGGCAAGCCGTTTTAACATTTAATCATTTTAACCTACTAGTCTCTATTTTCATGCTACTAGTACTTATTTTTTAGATAATAGTATCTATTCCATTAAGTACAAGTACTTATTCATTAGCTACTAGTGCTTATTCTTTAGATACTAGTGCCTTTTCTTTAGATACTAGTGCTTATTCTTTAGGTACTAGTACCTTTTTAAAGATACTAGCACTTATTCATTAGATACTGGTCCTTATTTATTAGATACTAGTACGTATTCATTAGATACTAGTACTTATTTATTAGATACTAGTACTTATTTATTAGTTACTAGTGCTTATTCATTAGATACTAGTACTTATTCATTAGATACTAGTACTTATTCATTAGATACTAGTACCTATTAAATAGACACTAGTACTTATTCATTAGATACTAGTACTTATTCAATAGATACTAGTACTTATTCATTAGATACTAGTACTTATTCAATAGATACTAGTACTTATTCAGTAGATACTAGTACTTATTAATTAGATACTAGTAGTTATTCAATGGATACTAGTACTTATTCATTAGATACTAGTACTTATTCATTAGATACTAGTACTTATTCAATAGATACTAGTACCTATTTATTAGATACTAGTATTTATTCCAAATGTTACTAGTAAGAATTTTTATTTTACTAGTAAGATTTTTAATTGAACTATACAGTGGTCGTTCTGACTAGTCATAACATAAGACTAGTAAAACAGCAGTTGTGACTAGTATAATAAAAATTCTTACTAGTAACATTTGGAATAAATACTAGTATCTAATAAATAGGTACTAGTATCTAATGAATAAGTACTAGTATCTAATGAATAAGTACTAGTATCTAATGAAGAAGTACTAGTATCTATTGAATAAGTACTAGTAGCTAATGAATATGTACTAGTATCTAATGAATAAGTACTAGTATCTATTGAATAAGTACTAGTAGCTAATGAATAAGTACTAGTATCTATTTAATAGGTACTAGTATCTAAAAAATAAGTACTAGTACCTAATGAATAATTACTAGTATCTAATGTATATGTACTAGTCACAATTGGAATACATACTAGTCAGAACTGAATAGTTGATATCTGAATGACAGATCCCCATAGAAGTCAATGGCAAAAAATTTAATTTGTTACTAGTCACAAAATAATAGTTACTAGTCACTTTCGAAATAAGTACTAGTATCTAATAAATAAGTACTAGTATCTATTTAATAGGTACTAGTATCTAATGAATAAGTACTAGTATCAAAAAATAAGTACTAGTATCTAATGAATAAGTATTAGTACCTAATGAATAAGCACTAGTAACTAATAAATAAGTACTAGTATCTTATAAATAAGTACTAGTATCTAATGAATAAGTACTAGTATCTAATAAATAAGGACTAGTATCTAATGAATAAGTACTAGTATCTTTAAAAAGGTACTAGTACCTAAAGAATAAGCACTAGTATCTAAAGAAAAGGCACTAGTATCTAAAGAATAAGCACTAGTAGCTAATGAATAAGTACTTGTACTTAATGGAATAGATACTATTATCTAAAAAATAATTACTAGTAGCATGAAAATAGAGACTAGTAGGTTAAAATGATTAAATGTTAAAACGGCTTGCCATATGCTGCTTACAGTGTTACTTTGGTGTTACCCATTATCCTACCTTTAGTAGGATTATGGGTGCGGAGTGCGTGCGTGCTTATTAAACGACATAAAGTGCGTATCATATGCACGCAAAAACTATTTTTGCCATAATTGGCACGAGAAATAAAATTTATTGTACATACGCACTTTCATAAATTACTGTAACAATTCAATTGACTCCAATAGTTGGTATAAAAGCAAGATGCAAATTAAATGAAGTAAATATTTTCTAGATAATTTTTAATCAGTTCTTCAGCCTAGGCTGTAATACAATGTCAATATAACAATATAATATTTATTTTGATTTGAAGATCATTTCGTCTAACCTCACGGCTGCCTGCCAGAGTGCCTATGATAACCACCAGAGGGCATTCCTTAGTCCTTTACCATTCCATCAGGAACTACATTTCCCATTATTATTTGCCTGGACACATTATCATGCCTGTGTGTCATTTAGCTTGTGTATATAAGCCGTGTATTTTTTGTCATTCTTTACAAAGTCTTGTATGTGTTACACTGCATTTCTTAGCATTATTTCTGGTTTTCAGTGTCATGCTTTTGTCATGTCTCCCTGAATTTTCCTGTGTCTTGGACTGTTATTATCTGTATTACCCTGGATTTTTGACCCTATCCTTGTTGTTATATGGATTGCGATTGTAGATTACCCTCAAGCTGCGTTTGGATCTACAACCCCAAGTCTTGGCGCATTTCCTTAACACTTAATAATATCATGCTTAATATTTTTCTAATGCACCATTTTACCTGTCCAGGATTAACTTTAAAATGTTTTACCCTCTATATTAACATGTTAAAGACGGAATGAAAGACCTCTTATTTATTCCAAATATAATTTTTCATTGTAAAAGCATCAGCAAGAGTACAAATTATGAGGCACTTGCTGTTCAATTAAAACATCTGTGGTGTGATTCCCCACAGTCCACTGATGAAGGCTTCACTCTAACATCTGACATGTGCAGACTAAATCTGTCATGAATCAAGATTTAATGTCACTGCAGTACTTCGTCTGTACGAGTGTTCAGCCCTCCTGGACACTGTTGACACTGTATAGATCATCCCGTCGCTGTGTAGTGATTGGGATCTGCTGACGCACATCAGCCAAATACTGAAGATCTACAAGCAGAAGAGGAAGAGTATGTTTGCATTATGCTCAAATGGCTCTATATGGCTCACAATTTAAATTAATGTAAAACACTGAAACTCACCTATATCAGCATACACAACAGATTCCTCTGACCCAGCTTTGGTAATAACCTCCCCCCTGCAGGGAAAGAAGGCACAGGTACCAAACCATGATAATCCATTCTAATGTATGCATAATAACCTGTAGCTAGAAGAGATAGAAAGCACTTACCAAGGGTTAACCACAGAGCTGTGACCCCAGGCCACATAGCTGGCGGTCTCATCTCTTGCTGGTGAAGCAGTGGCCACATATACCTGATTATCTACTGCCCTGTGAAAAGGACACAGACCGTCTTACAGGGGAATGGGTAAGGGAGAACTAAATAGTTTGGGAACTCTAGATGGTCTGGGATACTGACCTCCCCCTCTGCAGAAGCTCCCAGTGAGCTGGTCCTGTGGTCATATTGAAGGCACCAGGATATACCAAAAGCTGGCAACCTACATAGACAGAGAAGTTTTTATTCAAAGAGCATAAGTTTTTATTTTTATTTTATTCAAATCTTCACATTTACCATTTTAAGAACTCTCACCTTTCTTGGCATAGATCTGTGCAAGCTCTGCAAACCTGATGTCATAACATATTCCCACACCTATTTTACAAAATGCTGCAAAGAAAGACATAAACCGTGTGAATATACATCTGGGGAGAGCAAATACATAAAGGTAACATTGGAGATGTTTACCAATATTTATACTCTGCACAATACTGATCAGGCAATAATTGATAAATGACCAATTTTGAAATGATTATATATATTTTGTAAATACTTTTAAAATAAACACACACAAAACTTGAAGCAATTGTTTTAAAGGCTATAAGTGAATCTAGGCATCAGAAAATTACAGTAGCAGCTTATTGCAGTACATGAGATCCAGAGGGTAGAGTTGGATCCAGATCTAAGGGGTGGAGATGGGTAGGATTAGGGGTGAGGTTAGGGATCAGGGGGTGGAGATGGTATGGTTAGGGGTAGGGTTAGGGATCAGGGAGGTGGAGATGGGTAGGATTAGGAGTGGGGTTAGGGATCAGGGGATGGAGATGGGTAGGATCATGTAAGGTGGGAGGAGTTGGATCTGGATTACGTGTTCTGCAGTGAGGACCATCTCGAAAATTATAATATAAAACTGAAAATGGATATTCAGATTAAAACTTGCTAAATATTACATATAACACTGTTATTAATTTATTATTAGTTTTTTTTTTTTTTTTTTACAAATTAACTAAATGTAAAAATAGGAGAAATAAGTATGCACAAAAATCCAGTATCTTCAGATATATAAACCAACACTGATAGTGATACTGATACATTTATAAAAGAAAATCTCTAATATTGGCCAATGAGCAATATAATACCAATCTATAAGTAACACGGTGAAGACTTCTATAACACTCACGTGTTTCAAACATGGATAAACTCTTTCCTGGACTTAGTGTTTCAGACTCTTGAAACCGTATTTTCCCAGGTACATCAATATCAAAGAGGTGAATCTGAAGGAAATGGGGGTATGCATAGTGTCAGTCGTGTTTTTTTTTTTGTTTGTTTGTTTGTTTGTTTCCACTTTAGCCAAATTATTAACCTAAATACTTACAATGCTTAATTTTAATACATCCTGAAATATTTTATATATACACAAACATGTTAGGTTGTTAAGACGAGTCTATTAAGTGTTTTTTAAGTATCTTATGGTCACAGAGGTTGCATTTATTCAATCAAAAATACTGTAAAAAAACTAAAATTGTGAAATATTATTAAAATTTAAAAAATGACATGTTTTCTTTTAAATGTGCAGTAATTTATTATATGCTAGCAAAGCTGAATTTTCAGCAGTCATTACTCTAGTCTTCAGTCACAGTCTCACATGACATGACCCTTCCAAAATTCTAATATTGTGATTTGGAGTTTAAGAAACATCACATTATTATTATTAATGCTGAAAACAATTGTGTTACTTAATATTTTTTGTGTCAACTGTGATAAGATCTTTTAGGATTATTTGATGAATAGAAAGTTCAAAAGAACAGCATTTATTTTAAGCTGAGATATTTGAAACATTATAATTGTTTTTTACTGTCACTCACTTTCCTGTGTTTGACAAGCAGCTTTCCATCAGGTCCAAAAACTGAGCAGGTGTTATAGAGCTTCCCACTATCCTCCTCAGGAATGGAACCTACAACATACACACAATCATATAAGAAACTAGAAATGAATGACATCAACCACACCAATGTGCTGGTTTGTGTCTGAGGGCCTCACCTCCCACTAAATAGACCCCACACTCCTTGGCTGCCTCTGACAACACCTTTGTGGACTCTCCTGGGATCTTCTCAGCATACTCGGCAAAGAACCCGGTTCCATAAGGTGAGTTGAAGCACTCCTACAAAAAAACATGGATGAAGGATTATTAAACATCATATTGTTCTATAAACCAATGTTTATGCAGCAATCAAACACATTAATTATGCATCAGTGGTGAAGAGTAATATAAAGTAGTCAACGTGTATTGTTCAAAATCCATGTATAACTTTGAGGAAAGGTTTTGATCCCCTTCAAATGTTGACTACTGTAATGTTGACTACAAGTTAGAGAATGTAATACTCACAGGTAAAACTACAACTTTTGCACCTTGGCCTGCAGCCTCCTTCACAAGTTTTTGTGCTCTTCCCAAGTTGTCAGCCTTAATCTTTGACACATGTAACTGCACCACACCCAGACGAAACTCTAGGGGGGCAGATGATCAAGTTTGTTAATTAGCTGCTCCGGGATAAATGATTCACTCTTATAACTTTTTAAACCAGCTGTCTTTTATCTTTCATCTGAACTCTGCGCTTTTGTACTGTCAAAACAGATGCAGTCAAAACAAAAGACATGTGTTTTAGTTTTATTGTAGGTTTGGGTGATACGAACTAAAAGCACAGTCAACGCATGATAAGTGAACTACAAAAGCTCAAAACATTTATAAAAAAAAAAAAAAAAAATTAAGTTCAAACATTTGCACATTTGATTTGTCCAGTATGAAATTCTCAATGCAAAGTGAAAGAAGGGATGCAACAATCAGCAAATAAAAATACACGAAATAATTCGAAGACATAGCAATATATGTGAATAATATAAATATATATATATCTACTCACTCGACATTGCCTTAAAAATACCAGACATAACAGGCTACTGCTCAGCTCAGAACAGACAGTACATTGACAGTCATGCATTGCAGGTTTACTTTACGCCCACTAAAATACATTCAAAATAAAAGTCCTCAGTCTATTTTTTACAGTCAGAAGTCATATTTTTCTTCGTGTTTTTTTTACTATTCAACAAAGCATAAACACTTACATTTCTTCGAAGTTTATGTATAATTTATTAAAAATCAGGAAGTTGAAATAATTGAGTATTTGAAAAATAAAGAAAGAAAGAATGAGTTTATTTTATACCTACTCTATCCGACCTATCGGAGGCGCAGTTGAAAGTCGTACACCGGTGTTGAACACACAAGAGAGGAAGACGTACCAAAACATGCGTGGTGAAACCTATTTTATTTTTATTTATTTTTTACAGTCTATGGGTGAAACTGATATGATTCGCAGAGTTAGTTGTACAGTAGAATAAATGCCTTTCTTGCTGATTTCGCCAGCGCTTGCATGTTTATATGCAAGTTTGATTGTATTGTAACTTAAACCTGAGCAGATGAATCTTAACAAGATCAGTGTCCTGACCAAACATGTGTTTCTATGCAAACATGTCTTGGGTAGGTGGTACACGAACTTTGCTAAATGTAAACCAATCATATTTTGTCAATGTTCTTCAAAATTAGTTGCTTCCATCTTACCATGCACAAGACAACGTTTAAAGACTGGGGTTGCAGTTCCAGTTCTGCCAACAAGGACTTTGTCATTGACAGCTTACATGTTCAAGAGCAAAAATAACAGCACAGAAAACAATCCAGAGGAAGAGGAAGATGAAATTGATGAAGCTGAAATAGAGGAGCTGTTCCAGCAGCAGATCCCCACAGATATTGGGCAAGAAGACCACAGAATCTTTATTGTTCATCCTGATGTGAAATGGGGCAGAAGAAAGCAGTATCTGACCACAGGTAAACAAAAAAAAAAAGTGTACTATTTGATCTGATTTCAGTGTATTAATGTGACATATTTCAGAATACAGAGTTGTTCCCTTTAACAGCGGCACTTCAGATGGAAGAGGCTGTTGGGCTGGTGAACACTTTACACAAGTGGAGCGTTGTGGACAAGATCATCCTTTCCACCAAGACACCAGAAAATAAAAGAATTTTCGGCAAAGGAAACTTCCAGATGCTGACAGGTATATAGCTTACTGGTTTTGAATAAATAATATATTTTAAGCACAACTTGACATCTTTTCTAATATGCTCTGATACATTGCTAAGAAAAGATCAGAGCTACTACTGAGGTCACAGCCGTCTTTGTGAACGTGGAGCGTCTTTTACCTTCCTCGGAAGTGAGTATTCAGAGTATGATAGTGTTATTGCATACATGCTCACTTCAAAAGCTTCTTTAAATTACTATAAAACAGCACCAGATTCTCTGTGGCTGTAATATTATCAGAATAAGTTCTACTTTGAATACTGTTGTGATTGAAATGTCAGTTGCAATGTGTTATGCTTGTGTTTCAGAAAGAATTACAGGAAGCCTGGGGAGTAAAAGTGCTTGATAGATACTCACTTGTTCTGCATATTTTCCGATGTAACGCTAGTACAAAAGAGGCCAAACTGCAGATCTCTTTAGCAGAGATTCCCTTGTTAAGGTAAATTGTGTTTGTTAGTTCACTCTTTTTCTTATCAATATTTGTTCCTGATTAAATCAATAATCCTTTCCTAGCAAAAAAATTCATTCAAAAGTTGGTACTTTTCAAATTTTGAATTGACATTCTTATGCTCACAAAGGCTGCATTTATTTGATCAAAATACGGTAAAAACAATTTATTATTACAATTGACTGTTTTTTAAATACATTTTAGAATTGTATTTATTCCTGCAATGGCAAAGCAGTATTTTTAGCAGTCATTACTCCAGTCTTCAGTGTCACATGATCCTTCAGATTTATAATATGCTGATTTTTTGCTCAAGAAACATTTCTTAATATCAGTATGTGCTGCTTACAATTTTTTGTGGAAATTGTGATACATTTTTTCAGAATTCTTTGAGTAGAATATTCTAAAGAACAGCATTTATTTGAAATATAAATCTTTTGTAACATTATACGTCTTTATTGTGATTTTTAAACAATTTAATGCATCCTTGATACCTTGTGACACAATGAAATCCAATGAGGGAGTTTCATTTTGTCCAGTCTGGTGTAATTACTTTCAGATTACACTAAAAAGTAACACCAAACACGCTTTTAACATATTTTTTTCTGTTTGAACACAAAAAGATCACGCCTGAAAAATGAAATGGCAAACTTAGACCAGCAAGGTGGCGGCTCAAGGTACATTATGGGCTCAGGTAAGGAAACATTTTTAATCATTTTTAAGCATTTTTAATCTCAGGTTAATTTTTTTTAACTGGAACTAAATGCATGCAGACTGTTGTCTGCAGGTGAAACCTTGTATGAAATGCAACAGAGATTGTTGAAGGAGCGAGAGATGAAGATCCGATCAGCCCTGGAGCGACTTAGGAAGAAGAGGCACCTGCTGCGCTCTCAGCGCAAACACAAAGACTTTCCTACCATCTCTGTCATGGGCTACACCAACTGTGGTGAGGTTTGGATAATATTAATTTGTTAATCTGTTATATGAGATTGTAAGAAACACACATTCATAGTCTTTGTTTCTGAAGGTAAAACAACTCTGATTAAAGCACTGACTGGAGATGCTGGTCTTCAGCCTAAAGACCAGCTCTTTGCCACCCTGGATGTTACAGTACATGCCGGACAGCTGCCAAGTCACATGACTGTACTGTTTGTAGACACCATTGGCTTTTTGTCCCAGCTCCCTCACCAGCTCATTGACTCTTTCTCTGCCACACTGGAGGATGTGACACATTCTGTATGTACCCAGAACACAAGCTTTTTATTTTTAGCGATGTCATAGAAAGTTTGGTAACACTTTACTTAAGGCTTGATGTATAATGTATTTTAAAAGATATTCATAATGTATCTTATAATGCATTCACTAATCTAGATACATTTATATAGATCAGTGAATGCATTATACCTTTTCATAAATAATTGTTACCAATGTTAAAATGGCATCATTCATTATACTATGTGCACATTACTTGTTACATCTGAATTGGTTGTGTTTGTCATGTGTTTTAATGCATTATTGTTTCCAAAGGTTCAATGAATAGATAAGTATTATAACTGTGGTTACAATTATTTATAAGACTATACGATGCATTACAACACATAATTAATGCATTAAATACTTCTATAACACATAATATTGTATATAAAGGCTTTAATAAAGTGTTACAGAAGTTTAACCACCCTCACCTTTTGCAGGACCTCATAATTCATGTGAGAGACATCAGTCATCCAGAAACTGTGAATCAAAAGGTTAATGTTCTGAATGTCCTAAAGAATCTTCAGATTCCAGAAAGACTACTCAACTCCATAATAGAGGTGCACAATAAGATTGACCTCATTGAAGGGTGAGAGACAAAGTCAGTCATTTGGTTAGGAATAGTCAAATAATTAATTTGGTTACACTTTATTTTAAAAGGGATATATATATATAATGCCATTTTCAATACAAGTTAATTAAATTATTTAGAGTCTAAATGGATAGTTAGTTTGTAATATACTTTAATTAAATTACCTAAAATTTTACCTAACTCACAGGCAATGACATTATGCATG